TCTCTCTCTCTCTCTCTCTCTCTCTCTCTCTCTCTCTCTCTCTCTCTCTCTCTCTCTCCCTGGAATTCAATTAAAAACTGAAGAGCAACTATTCACGCTTCTGTTTTCTCAGAGGCTCTGGAAGGAGAAATGGCTACTTAAGGCGAGCAGGCTGGGAGGAGGGGCCAGCACACGCTACATTAAGCCTTAAAGCTCGTCTAGATCTTTTGCATCAGTCTATTTCTGGAAGATGAAGGGAGATCTGTCCCACTCACTTATGCCAAGGGAGAGAGGGTAGTGCCTGCAAAGCATTAACTCCAACGCCATTAGCTGCGGTGGGAAGTCTGGGCTTTGATAGCAAGGACCCAGCTCAGGGAGGGAGGGAGGGAGGGAGGGAGGGAGGGAGGGCGGGAGGGAGGGAGGGAGGGAGGTGAAGCTGAGCCGCCACTGAACCATGGGTGATATCTGCTGGCTTCCCTGCTCACCTGCATGAGCACCTTCAGTCTGTCCAGAGGGTTTCTGGGGGTTGTGCTGTTTCTGGGTAGGCCTCCCAGAACAGAAAGTGCCAGACAGAAGCAGAATGGGGTAACTAGTCACTGTTCAGACAGATATCAAAGTCCACCAGTGTCCACATGTGGGTCATTTCACAAGGCTTCCCTGACATCACACAAGCTTATCTCTGCCCTGTGGACGTGGAGCTGCATGCTCAGCCAAGGTAAAGACACTGCTTCCTGATGGCCTCTAGGTCACGCAAGGGTCTGTTCCCCCTGCCCTCCATGAGGCATCTTATCCATCCTGAGATGTGCTTAAGGAATCAGGTCTTGCTACACTCCAAGTAACAAGCCCAAGTAAGGTGACACGCAGCTTATGTTTCTCTGATAAAATTAGACCAGCAAACCGTAAAGGTTACCTAGGCCTGGATCTACTGGTGCCTGCAAAGCATTAACTGCAACTCCATTAGCTGCGGTGGGAAGTTTGGGCTTTGATAGCAAGGACCCAGCTGAGGGAGGGAGGGAGGGGAAGCTGAGCCTCCAATGAACCATGGGTAAAATCTGCTGACTTCCCTGCTCACCTGCATGAGCACCTTCAGTCTGTCCAGAGGGGCAGTGCAAGTTCTGGAAACTGCCCCTGCCCCACCTCCTGCTACCAGGTGCCTCCACCACATCCCCGTCTGCCTCTCCTCCACTGTGAACTCATCTGGGACTGTTAGATTCTCACCGACATCGAAGATCTATGGGGAAGGAAGACAAACAGAGACATAGCCAGCTTTACTCACAACATCTGTGGCCAATGCGCTAGCCACCTGCCGTGGTCACTGCCTTCCACTCTCTCAAGTGGGGACGTGAACAGTGAGGATGGCAGGAACTCTCCCTTAGCCCCGACAGTGAGCTAGACAGGAACAGGCAATGATCGGGAAGAATGTTGGAATGCTGCTGGGTTGCCCTTTTAAAGGAAGCTCCTGGGACTTCCCACAAGGACTTTAGGGCTGACATCAACGATAAGGGCAGATGGGTATAAACCTTGCAACCCGATACAGAACCAGATTGCCAGCAGAAGAGTGTTATGCAAGGCCTAAACAAGCAGGGTGCTATGCTGCCTGCGTAATACCTTCTCTCTGGAACTGGTTCCAGCTAGCTGTGCTGACCTCTGGGCTGCAGGCCAGAGACAGGCTAGCTGTTCTGAACCCTAGAATCAGCCACTTACTTTCACCCAAGAAGCCCTGACCTGGCCGGGTGGTGGTGGCGCACGCCTTTAATCCCAGCACTTGGGAGGCAGAAGCAGGTGGATTTCTGAGTTCGAGGCCAGCCTGGTCTACCGAGTGAGTTCCAGGACAGCCAGGGCTATACAGAGAAACCCTGTCTCGAAAAACCAAAAAAAAAAAAAAAAAAAAAAAAAAAGAAGCCCTGACCTGGCACTGTGGGTGCAGGGAGGATAAGGCAGGGGAAGCCCTGCCCAGAACACCAGAAGTCTTTTAAATTAGACTGACATTTCTGGCTGTGAAACTGCACCTGTCTTCCTGAATGTGGACTGTGCTACAGAGTGGAAAAAACAGTGCGTAGCCTACAGGGCATGCTTACTAAAACCAAACCCCAAAAATCAGAGTCTAACTCTATAGCCCAGGCTGGCCGTTAACTCACGAGGCTCCTCTGTCTCAGCCAGAACATGTATTTTTGCCACAGAGAGAAATGATACTAAAAAAGAAATTCGGGGAAGGTGGAGGCATCTGTAGCAAGGCTTCCTTCGCCGTCCCGTGGAGGACAAACTGTCTGCTTCTGGGAGAAGCAGCAGCAGGAACACGAGATATTTGGAATGGCCTGTGAAGGGCAGTGGCATGTGGGGATAGGAAGGTATGCCCAGCAAAGGGTCAAGGGTCCAGGCTTGGACCCTTCCACTGTATGGAAGGAGGAGGAGCATGTGGCTGGCAAAGGAGGCACAACATCTCATTGTATCATCAGGACCCCCACCCAGGCCTAGATGGGGAGGGAATGAGAGATGTGAGATAAGCCTTAGTGGACAGTGCTGTGTGCCTCACCGTCGAGTGCTTCCAGTACAGGATGATCTCAGGGATGTTCTCCACAGGGTGCAGGAGGTGGTAGTCCCTCCACTCATTCCAGTCGATGGTCATTGTGCCATTCTTATCCATGCTGTAAGCAGAAGCATGGTCACTCACACTGTCACACCCACCTGGATAGGATGAAGGCAGGAGCCATAGCCACCCAGGAAACCAAAAGCACCTTGCTCCTGAGAAAGGGTAAGGTGGCTCCATACCCCATTTTCCACAAAATGGAGATGTGCTGGCCCACAGGAACCCCATTCTGATCAGGGAGGGAGGCAATCATAGGGAGACACAGATACTTACTAGGTGACAGGGCCCCAGAAGTGGCCCGTCCGTATTCTGACAGACAGACAAAGGAGTATGCAGAGGAGAGAGGAAAAACAACACAAATAAATGCGCTGAGCAGGTTAGTAAAGCAAGCACACACCCAAAGACACCAGGGCCAGCACAGCATGAAGAAGAGGGCAGAACTGGGCTCCTGGGGTTGCTGTCCCTGTGACCAGCCAGGTACAAACTGTTCTATTTGCAGGGCTACTGGCAGCCCTCTGCTCATGAGTGAGCATCTATCTGGCCAGCATATGTGGCTACAGAGTAAAGAACAAGCTACTAGCAGCAATCCGAGTCAAGGAGCACACATGGTACAAGTCCCTCCCCACCAGAGAAAGTATTCCAGGACACTTCTCACCAATGTGAAATGCCCACAACTAATCTTGCCATTTTAAGGGTTGCTGGCAATGGCCTAATTCCAGATTTGTGACTTTTTCATGAGATAAGGGCCACAACCTCAGGAGAAGCTTGCTTTGTGAAGGGGCGTCTTATCCCTCCTTCTAGACACAGGGCTGGTTTCAGGGAAGAGGTCGACAGTGAAGAGCACGTGGATTAGTCCAAAACCATTAAAGCATCCCATAGAATGGAACCCACCCACACTCACTCACCTCTTAAGAATCTTCTCTGCCTGCTGTTCAGAGATCTTGACACCCAGGTCCCGCAGAGACTGCATGATCTCCTGCGCATCGATTCGTCCTGTGACAACAGGATCCATGAGCAGAGTCCAGCAATTTGGTAAGCCAAGACCTGCCTAGCAGAGGAGCTACAGCCAAACTCACCATCATTCTTTTTGTCCAGACTCTTGAACACCAGCCTCAGTTTTTTCTCATGATCCTGGAGGTAATGTACAAACTCTTCAAAGTCCAGTTGCCCATCAAGGTCCTTGTCACCTGCTTGCACAATTTTCTAGAAAACCAAAGTAAGGACTTGAGGTGTTGCTCACTAGTGTCTTTTCACAATGGGGAAATAACTGTTCTCCACAGTGACCCAAGATGTCCTATCTCTAAGGATATATCAGCCCACAGGAATCATAGGACACCATGCCAATGTACCCATACACTAGAGCCACTGTTCTGGTTCCCAAAGGCTATCCAGAAGCCATGCAAAGGCCCACCCTGCTCTGGGGAAGAGACACTTCTATGAGAAAGCCTTCAGAGAGGCCAGAAGGGCAGTCAGGTGCTTGTTCTTTCCAACATTCCCCAGACCAGCCTGTTACGCAGCCAGGGTCAGTGGCTTGGCTCTCCTGCAGGAGCACTCCTGGCTGAGAGCTGGGGAGAACCTTGGAATCTAGAGTTCCTTAGGAACACTGTTACTTGCTCCATCTCCTGTGTGGCATTAGCCCAATGACAATTTTGTAGCGAGGGTAAAGGTGCAGACAATGCCTACTTGGCAGAAACATTGCCAGGGAACACTCTGGAGGGTGTAGAGACAGACAGGAGGAGCCAAGGGCAACTATTTTGGGGCTCATCTTGACGGCACTGCCAGTCTAGTCCCTGATCTCAGGAATACCAGATATAACCAAGCCCTAGATTCCCAACCAGGCACTGAATGCCAGGTTAGCTTTACTAGTTTAGTGACCTAAGGCTTTAAGAGACCCTGATCTGCAGCAGCACCTGTCAGGTGAGCTCTGCTCGGCAGCTGTAACACCAGCTGGATGTAAAGCAGCTGGAGCTTCCTTCTCCACTTGCTCAGCACGGAATGGGGTATGCAAAAGGCTTTACTGAGGTCTCTTCAGTAGCTAGCTCTAAGAGGTATAGCTCATTCTTTCCCACATGTTGCAAAGCAAGGAACAACAGTTAGAGAATGGTGTTCACAGGAGGTCATGGCCAAGGCCATCGTGTACATTCCAAGCCACCTATAGGACCTTCTGCTACCTAAAGGTTAATCTCAAGACAGAGAGAACTCTGGGAAAAATATGGGTCATTTCAGCTCAGAAGCACTTCCGATTTCATATGCTTTTAATTCCATTTAGCCAGGAATGGTGGTGTATGCCTTTAATCACAGAACTCCAAAGGCAGAGGCAGCTGGACCTCTGTGAATTCAAGGCCAGCCTGGTCTATCTAGCAGGTTCCAGGATAGCCAGAACTACAGAATGAGACTCTGTTACCCCCCCGCCCCCCAAGCTTTTAATTCTATCTATCTAATTTATTGGGGAGAGCACTTTAAATCCAAAACAGGAGATTCTCTAAGGAAAATGTTTCTTGGTTCTCTTATGGACAAATCCATTCACTAGTCAAGTCAACACATTAGGTCAAAGAGTTTTGAGCCGGCTAGGGTTTAGAAACTGGTGGACCACTGCCTAGCTTGCATTCCCAAAAGGCGGTCATCATGGTTTCCTTCTTATTAGCCACTGATTTTTGGGGGGAGGGTAGACATATAGCCCAAGGAGCCAACCATGTGGAGGGTGAGGTTGGCATCTTATCTGCTAGCTAGGATTATGGTAACTTCACGCCAACATCTATGCTCTTAGCCAAGGGTCAAGTAGAAAGGAGCAAGTCTATATGGCAGTCAGGGAGGAGGCACACAGAACTCTATCTCTTGTCCCTAGGTTACCTGCTACCAAAGTACTCTGTCCTGAGGTAGTGCACCATGACACAGACCACCCACAACTGTTCGAACTGTATGTACCCTATTTAAAAATACTCAGCCAGGCGGTGGTGGCGCACACCTTTAATCCCAGCACTTGAGAGGCAGAGGCAGGTGGATTTCTGAGTTCAAGGCCAGCCTGGTCTACAGAGTGAGTTCCAGGACAGCCAGAGATATACAGAGAAACCCTGTCTCAAAAAAAAAAAAAAAACAAAAAAAAACAAAACTCTCCAACAGTTTGCTCTGTATCCAGGAGTTGGGGGGCAGGGTGCATACATAATCCCAGCACTACAGAGGCTGAGGCAGGAGGATTTCTGAGAGTTTGAGATTATCCTAGTCTATATACCAAGACCCTGTCTGAAGAAATGCCATGTGTGGTGGCACATGGCTTTAATTCCAACAGTAGGGAGCCAGAGAAAGGCAGATCTCTTTGAGTACCAGGCCAACCAGGACTACGAAGAGACATTGTCATTAAAAAGCAGGGAGGGGGAAAGACTTGCTTCTTCCCCCTTTACAACCACTCCATCTGTGTGTCTCCATTATGAGATGCACAAAACCACACACCAGCACTGGGGGACAACATGAAATTTAATGCAAAGTAAACCCAAAGACAAGTTCAGTTTCTCATCACACAAGGGCCAGGATCACCGCTGGCATCCTGCTCCCTGAGGCGCCTAAGTACTTGAAAGTCCAAGAGGGAAGGAAGGCTGCCCTGTATCCTAGCCTCTCCTTTCCAGGGCATCTACACTGGGCCCTGGAGTCACAGGAACTTCCCACAACAGTGAGACAGCCCAAGACTCTATGACAACCTGTACATTTTAGGAGGCGTCATCTACGCCAATCTCCTATCTAGAGATTCCATCTCCCACAAGTGCCTTCCCTCCCAGTCCAGGAAATTACACGAAAACCAGCTGTTCCCATGACAATGACAGAACTGCTGGCTACAGCCACAGAAGGCTGGGGAAGCACCTACATTTCAGACATTCTTTGTTCTAGGCCAGGAAGTCATGCCTAGGTACCATTCATCTCCTCACTCAAAACCAGTCCCTGCCGCCCCTTGTGGATCCCACTCAGCATACAGACCTGCTTCCATTGGCGGTATGTGAAGAACTCTTGAGAGGGGATAAAGACACTGAGTTTGAAGATGGATTTGAGCTCGGCAGGAAGCCCCTTGGACTCAAAGTATTGGAACTCAGTCTGAGCCTCCCCGACAATGGGCACATACAGGCACAGGCAGAGCATGCTGGTGAGACCGGGTGCTCAGCCACCACCGGGAGCAAGTGCTGGCAGAAGTCAAGAGTGGGAAATGCCAGGGTTCCCAGGAAACTAGTACAAGATATACCGGCCTCTGCTGTCACTGGCTGCTTAAGTCCTGCCCTTTTATTTAATTGAAAAAAAAAAAATTCCGCCCACTGCAAGTGCAGCCAGCAGCCAATGAGCACAGTCCTCAGCAGCCAGCATATCAGGTTGCTCAAGAGCAGAAGAGCAAAGATCAGGACTGACGTCACTGCTTGCAGAGTTAACTCTTGGAGCCCAGGCAGCAGGCACTGCCTAGGGTTGCAGCCCCATGCCCAAACAAACCTTCACCCCAGCTGTCAACCCTTCCAAACAAACAAACTGCCAAGTGTCTGTTTTCATACAAGGCCCTTAAATGCGTCACAGTATATAGCAGCTTTCTCTTCTTAGTAAATCATTCCCAATTGAAAATTCAGTGGAAATAGAGACTGAATCAGAGATGTTGAAAACTGACCCAGGCTACAGGGGTAGGGGTGGGAGAGGCCCAGCTGTAGCTGTGCTGGAACACAGACCCAACAATCTACAAGCATACAGTGCCTGGGAATCGCTTCCATCAATCACTGGGGTTAGCCAAGGATGAGACAGACTTAGAGTTGTCTCATGCCCACTGAGAACACTTGAAACCTTGGTCTGATGGTGGCCCTGAGAATTCTGCTGGACCACTCTGAAGCCTTTTAAAATGAACTACAATTAAATGAACCCGGAATATCAGCTCACAACTACAATCCCAGAATTCTGGGGCTGAAGGAGGATCTCCAGTCTGAGGCCCCCCTAAACTACATATTAAAACCTGTCAAAAGAGTGGGATGGAGGCTCAGGGGAAGAACGGAGTGTTTTGTCACACAGAAGGCTCTGGGTTTATTTGGACTGATTGGGAAGTGCCTGAGAGATTAAAACACACCTGAGAGTAAAGCACACCTCTGGGTGTGTCCATATAATTCCAGAGAAGAATAGCCAAGTGGAGAGATTTACCCTGAGAGCAGAATGGGGCTCCAGATGGAGTAAGGAGGGAGAGCAGAAATCCAGCGGCTGTAGGCTTGCTCTTTTCTCTCTGATTCCTGGCCATCATGATGGAGCCAAGACAAATCCTTCCTTAAACTGTTTCACAGTAACATAAATCTGACCAGTTGTCAGGCATGGCGGGTGACGCAGCCTGTAATCCTAGCCCTCAGAAGGCCGAGCAGGAGGACTGTTGAGAGTTCAAAGCCAGGCTGGGCTACAGTATAAGACTATCTCAGAAACAACTAAAATGACTAGAACAAGACTTACCAGCCCAAAGAGGAGGAGAAAGAAATAAACTGGACCCCTCACCTCCTACGCTCACTGCAAGGGCTTGTTACACGGTTGTGGCCAGTCTCATTATCACTGTGTCCACTGCCAGCCCAGCTAGACAATCTGATCTTTTATTTTACTTTAAAATCTCTCTCTCTCTCTCTCTCTCTCTCTCTCTCTCTCTCTCTCTCTCTCTCTCTCTCCCTCCCTCCCTTT